GCTTTTCACGTGCATTATAAAGGTTTTTGTAGCTTGAAAACTGAATCAATACTGCTGATCCTCTATGATATTTTTGGCATTATCTTAGGGTTAATCTTGTTGCTTACGAAGTTCTGTTTCACTTGTCAACCAATAGCTTTCACCAAAGTCAAATCTTCCTTTGACTGTAATAAATCTGCCAAAGACTCATCAGCAATCCCATGGACACAGTGAGAAAGGAATGATTTTGTTTAGGGATGCAAGGTAATGTCAAAATGAGCAAATGGTTTGGTCTAAAGATCCAGGAAACTGTGAAAAGGAAAACTTTTAGGCTGGAGCATGGAGCTGTCCTCCCTGAAGGAATGTCATGAGATTAAAAGTATCCAGAGAGCGTCCATTTCACCAGGAAAGGCATCTTCAGTGAAGAAAATCTAAGAGATAAAAGGTCCTCCAGTTTAAAGAGACCTCACACCAATAAGAACAGAATCAAGGTCAACAGTCTTCAACCCAGAGACCTATTGATGCTTCATGACCAAGGAGAATGCTTTCCGGCAGAATAGTAAAGCCTCACAACAGCCTGAATTTGTGAATATATATATTAATATTGGAGAAAAAGGCTTGTGAGGAGATAATGTGTAAGGCTCTGAAAGGGCTAATGGTGCAGAGTGCATTAATGTGGACTCAGGCAGGAGGACAACTTTGGATCTCAGATGAGTAAGACCTACCATCCTGATCTCAGTACCAATGTTGATCGCATGAATGTAATTGTACCTGGTGCTTTTGTGGCTTCAAGTTTAACAATGTTTATATACTTATGTTCAAAGAGTTATGGATATATATTTTTTAAGGAGGTCAATGAAAAAAACAGTGGAATTCTTTTCTAACAAGGCATTTCTTGAAATCACATGCCTCCTGATCGCTGCTTGTTTACTGCAGACCCTGTGCCTAGTTTTACAATTGTCAGGTTGCAATTTCTGCTTTGCAGATTGCTTGGATTATTCAGCTGATGGTCAGCCTGGAGGAGGAACTGAGCTTCACAGCCTAGCTCTCCAATTTCCGAAAACCCTCTTGTTGTGGGTCCAGTGTGGCACCTGGAGCCTTAGCCCAGTCTGAATTCTGATTATGCTCCTTGATTCTGTGTTTCCTGAGCAAGCTATGCTGGCAAAGATCTCACAGACATTTACTTCTGTTTGGTGACACCTATGATCGTGCAGCAGAATATCAGACTGACAGCTGCCTGAGCATTCTATACCCTGTCCTGTTTTCCTGCCTTCAAGAACTAAGAATTATTGGCCAAAATGTGTTTTCTTTTCTCAAAACGTACCTGCAGAGAGAAATCTGTTTTTCCCTGTTTACCTATTGTGTATGTGCATGATTTATTTGTGTGTGTGTGTGTGTGTGTGTGTGTGTGTGTGTGTTTGTGAGAGAGATGACAGGGGATTATGATGCTGGAGGAGATTGTAGCGATATGAAGAGGTGAAGCCATAACGATGAGAATTTTCAAATATTAGCAACAAGGTGGAAATGCAAAGGAAGATCATACCAAATCAAGCATAATACTGAAGTTGTGAACAGTCTGGTTTCCTTTTAAGGCCGTAGTCAGGAAGAAAGGTAGGATTGATAGTTAGGGAATAGAGTTTGTGGTGGGGACAAAACATAATGGGTTCAGTTTTCCCAATGTTTAATTGGAGGAAATTAGCACTGCAAGCCTGACAGTGTGCAGAAACCATTGCTGGGCTCTCTGATATATCACTGAGGGACAGCATGTCAATGAGAAATAGGAGGGGACCAAGGATAGATCTATAGGGGATACCATTGGGAACAGTGAGGGTGTGGGAAGAGGAGCCTTTGCCACTGACTCTCCACCTTTGATTTATTTTCTAGTACATTCCTATGATTTTGTACTTTTGTATATAAGATGGTGTCAAGGTTTCTGATGTTGGACTTTTTATTTCTTTATATTTTTATTTTTTCCCTAAGAATACGGACTTAAGAATTTGTCTCTACGTACCTTTGCACATAAGATTCCACTCTCGGGTGACTGTCTGTGTGGTGTTTGCATATTCTCCCCGTGTCTGTGTGCGTTTCCTCCGGGTGCTCCAGTTTCCTCCCACAGTCCAAAGATGTGCAACTTAGATGGATTGGCCATGCTAAATTGCCCAGTGTTCAGGTGATGTGTGGACTAGGTGGATTAGCCATGGGAAATGTAGGGAGGTAGGCTTGGGTGGGATGCTCTTTGGATGGTCCAAATGGCCTGCTTCCACACTGTAGGAATTGTATGAAATGGTGTATTTGAAGCTGAGGAGCAAGGCAGCTGTAGTGAGAGAACCATTAACAATACCAGCAGCATGGAGAAGTTGGATGGTCATCAGTTTAATGGGAATGGGGTTGTGGGAGCAGGAGGTCTGTTTTATGGCCAAGCGATGCCTGGAGAGGGCATGATAGGGGAAAGGTGAGAATCTAGAGAAAGATGTGGGTTCAGGGTTCGGTTGTGGTGGCTGAGTTTTTAAAGACAAGGGTGAACAGCACTTGGTGTAAGTGATAATGCTGGCAGCAGAGTTTTGGGTGACCTCATCTTTCTGGAGAAAGTGAGTGGAAAGTTGCCCAGCAATGCTCTAAAAACACATGAGCAGCAAATAAATTCACCCAACTCTCTGCATCCCTCCCCACCACCACCCACCCCCCCAAAAGCCCCAAACACCCACGAAATTTCAATCATGGGTGTCCCATTGTAGGCAATGGACCAAATGCAGATAAATAGGATTAGTGTAGTTTGGTTTCTGTTCATCAGCATTGGGCTGAAGGGCCTGTTTCTAAGTTGTTATGCCTCTATAACACTATGTACGTGGAATTGTCAGAATTGGTAGGAGATGCTCCTTAAATAACAGTATGGTTCTCTCCTGAAATTGTAGGATCATGAGTGAAACCATCAGCTACAAATGTAGGAGAGTGAGATCCTGTGATTGGATAGCAGGTAGGAGTGTGAAGGTGGATAGGGCAACGAGCAAGACCACAGAGGCTGGGGGTAGAGAGGCTAGAGGTAGAGAGGCTGGTGGCTGGAGGCTGAGGGTATGAGAATGGGAGAGGTGGGAACAAAGAACAAAGAACAAAGACAGCACAGGAACAGGCCCTTCGGCCCTCCAAGCCTGAGCTGACACGTTTTGCCCCTCCATACTAAAACCATCTTCACTCACAGGACCCATATCCCTCTATTCCCTTCCTATTCCTGTATTCATCCAGGTGCTTCTTAAATGCTGCTATTGTGTCCACTTCCACCACCACCTCTGGCAGCGCATTCCAGGCATTCACCACCCTTTGTGTGAAAAACATCCCTGTCATATCTCTTTTAAACTTCCGTCCCCACCCTGCACCTTGAACCTGTGTCCCTTAGCAACTGACCCCTCCACCCTGGGAAAAAGCCTCATACTTTCCACTCTACCCATGCCATTCACAATCTTATAAATTTCTATTAGGTCACCCCTCAACCTCCTGCGTTCCTTTGAAAACAAACCTAGTCTGTCCAACCTTTCTTCATAGCTAAAATCCCCCATACCAGGCAACTTCCTGGTAAACCTTTTCTGTATGCTCTCAAAAGCATTCACATCCTCCTGGTAGTCTGGTGACCAGAACTGTACACAATAATGGGATGTGATGCTGGCGAGGCTAAGTACAATAGAGTGCAAAGCTGGGGTCTTGGTGTTTGTGAACTTGGGGGAGTCGTGCTGCAATGAGAAGAGAGAAGGGTACAATGAGGGGGGGGGATGCAATGGGGAGAGAGGGGGTTCAATGGAGGGGTGCAATGGGGAGAGAGGGTGTTCAATGGGCGGGTGCAATGGGGAGAGAGGGGGTTCAATGGGGAGAGAGGGGGTTCGATCAGAAGAGAGGAGTGTTAAAGCTTTCAACAAAAGAGTACTCAGCCACCTGGCTCCAAGAAAACCTGACATTACTGAGGTAATGATTCCTTGAAAAAGAGTGTGGAGTCTCTAGCTTAAGGCTGTAGAAGTTCAGCAGCTACTATATGGGAGAGAATTTAGTGGATGCTATTGTTTTCATGCATTGTCATACCTCAAAGCATCTCACATATTGTGAATTACTTGAGATGCTGTGGCTGTGTTAGAAACAAATACTTAACCAATTTACCGTAATGCCACCAATTTGCATAAAGCATATTTTGGATAATGGGTTTTGTGATGGAAGTTTGTGTCTTTTTTTTTGTTTAAAAACGTGTGTTGTTGATATATACTGACACGGTCTTGTGCCAATATAAATATGCGGCATCTAGAAGATTAAAGCTTTCCTTATATGTTGTCTTTGATGGATGGTGAAGATTATTGATGAATTCCTCAAATTCTGCTTTTTCCTGAGTCCAAATACCCCTATGTCAGCACAAGCAGAGATGCTACTGTTGTCATGTAAGTACAAAAAACTTCTTATTAACCAGCATCTGCGGGACAAGTAGAATGCCAGTTGAGCAAATATTCTGGATAATCAAGAGGTATGCCAACTGCTGTATACTCTAAAGCTTCAACACATCAACATTTCTAAAGGAAATGTCAAAAACACAGTAAGTAATGGAAATGTAATGCAGCTCGTATACACATCACTGTTATTCTTCACAGCACAATCGCTGGGACTTTGTAACAAATCGCTGTATTTGAAGTATATAGTATTTGCTGGTTTATCAAGAGTGCTGGTTAAGATGCTGGTTAAAAAGCTTGCTGTACATCGGCTAATAAAGGAGCGAGTGAGAACAAAAGAGATCCTGAAAATCAAAAACTAGCTCTCCAGAAAACTTCAAAAAGAATTTCAAGAATGCGATGTTGATCCCTGCTGCCCAGGGTGTACCTGAGGCAATGAAATTGCTGTGAAGTAATCACTGGATTTGAAGTGATCATTTACAATGACTATCTTGTCCCCGACTAAATGATATTTGTTGAGCACAAATTTCCTCGCCTTCTTTGTCGTCATCCCCCTTGTGCGGTCTGCTCCAAGTCCTTGCTCCACAGCCATTCTGTACTTACCGCATTCATGTCAATCCCATTGGTGTATGACCAGGCATGCTGGAAATATTCCTCCAGTCTTTGCCGTAGTGGGTTGGGAATCTGATGGAAGCGGATAAATTCTTTCACTCGGAGCATCTGTGTGTGGTAGCGGGCGGTGCCGGAGTATAATCGCTGGATGATCGCAGAGACATTCCCAAAAATACTGGCATACATCAGAGCTGGGGGAGGGGGGCACATTAGGTCAAAGATCAATCAAACATAACTGAGGTTTCATTGAATAAATTCTCCTTTACCAAGCACTATCTAAAATATGGTAAGATCGTAATTAGCGAATGGCTTTTTACCCTGACCTGAGCCAGGAGATGGACAAGATAGTGAGGCAAGTGAGGCACTGGGATCAGTGTTGGGATGAGGCATTGGGATGATGTGTTAGGATGAGGCGCTGGGATGAGGAGCTGGGATGAGACGCTGGGATGAGGCGCTGGGATGAGGCGCTGGGATGAGGAGCTGGGATGAGGCGCTGGGATGAGG